TTTATTGGAACAAAATAATTTTCTTCATTTCAAATTATTAATTGTTGAATCTAATTGAAATGATTAGAAATAATAATGAAGATTCCAAAAATGATGATAATAATCAAGAACTTTTTGTTATGAACATTATCAAATTTGCTCAAGATAAATTGACAAATAAAGCAATTAAAAATGTTAAATTTATGGAGGAATTAGAATTAACAATGACTTTATTATTATATTCAAATAATAAAGATTTATTACCGGCCAAATTGAATGAACTGTTTGAATTCAAACTAAGAAGAGATATAGCTGATTTAGTTAATAAATCAATATTAGTGAAAGATTCTAATAATTTAATTGATTTAAACTATAAAAAGAAGTTTTATGAAGTTAAACACGAAGATAATGATAACAATAATGGCAATAATGAAGTTAACAATGACGTTGATGAAATTTCAATTGATGATAATGATGAAGATGATGATGGATTAAATAGTCATATTATTGATTCTAATTTGAAAAAAATGATTAAATTATGGATATGGAGTGAAAATAAAGCTTTTGATAAGAATTTGGAGTATCCAAGATTGAATTTAGATTGAATTATTAAAGCTGGTCTTTTAATTGAAAAACTATATTATATTATATTGTAATATACATCTAATTTGAAACCTGTTTCCACACCATGTAGACATAATGGTTTTGAATCATCTTTTAATTCAGCTTTTTTATGATAAATCAATACATCACTAATTTTGTAATTTTTTTGTTCATTTGATGTTAAAGATTCAAAGAATGAAGAATCTTTGAATAAGAAATACAACTTCTTTCTAGTGAAACCTAAAGTGGAACCAAGTTCTGGATTCTCATTATCTTCAAAATCCTCAGGAGCAAATTCAATGTGATATTTCAATGGTGTTGATAAGATTATTTGATCATTTAGATTAAAATTTCTAATAACATGACCATTTATATAAACATGAGCACAATGAACTGGAGTATCAATGAAATATTCTTTACCAGGTAATTCCCAAACTTGTAAATGTAATCCAATATTGAAAATCAACTTATAAATTATTATTAAAACCAAGATAATTATACCAATTGATGTTATTTTGATTGATATTGGATCATCAAGATGATGTTTAAAGAATTCACTTTTGGATAACTGTTTCAATATTATTGATTCCAATCGGTTATAAAGTGCAATTATTGTGCTCATGGAGGTGTGTGAAGTGATTGTACTATTCACTTGGATCTGTATATAATCTTTGATTCAAGCTCAAGACACTAAAATTTCACCCCAAACGAGAAAAGTGGTCTCAGAGTCACATGACCAAATATGATTACCTAATCTTAACCGCTATAGCCAAATAAAGAATGTGAAAATGTGGAGACAATAGAAAATTGAATGAAAAGATCAAGGTCAAAATGTGCTAAACGTTTGAACCAACCAGTAAGACCGGTGCCCAATGTTAGCTTCCGATGAGGTTGATGATTTAGTTCAAAGTGTCGGTATTCTCAATGATTTCAGACTTTTTGAAGACGAGGAGAGATTGTTTTGGACTTACGCTCAGGCTGTTGAAGTGATTGACACTACAAGCCTAAAACCCAGAAATGAACTGACCAGTAAGCTGTTACTTTTGGATGAACATCAATTTAGAGAAGAAGTGCACATGACCAAACATCAATTCTTCTCCATCTACTATTTATTTTCCAAAAGTGGTCTGCTCAGAGATGGTTCTCGATATGGTATAAAAGACAAGCTTCTCATGGCAATCTATATTACAGCCAACTCTTTCTCATACGATGATTGTTTAATTGCATTTGGTCTGAGTAATAAAGGAGAGCTGTCTAGAATGTTCACTCAAGTGTTGGATGCTTTTTGCGCAATTCAACATTTCATCATCAACAAAGATATTGTCAATATAAATGTGAATAGAGCTGAAAACCCTCTTTATCAGAACAAAAGTCAAGAATTTAAAGAAGCTTACAAAATATTTGTTGATGTGTTTGGCTATGATGGCTCCATTGGTGCAACGAGCTTCAGTATATCTGGTTATGGTCTAACAGAAGACTTGAAAAATGGAGATTACTACTCGTATGAAATGGGAGGATTAGGGATAAGTACTATGGCAATCATAAATACCAGAGGCTTAGTTGATTACCTTGGTGAGCAATACCCAGCAGCTAAACCAGGTTATGAAACCTATAAGATGGATATTTGGTCTTCTAATCTTGATAGAGTTTTAGCTTATAATCATGAAAGCAAGAATTTTGACGATTCCAAAATCTTGATGAAGTTTGGGGATAATGAATATTATTGTGACCAGTTTCTAGTTGTTCCCTATGAAGGTAATAACATTAGGTGTGATTTACTGGATTTTGGATTCAAAAAGGTTAGTGACTATGATTATTCGGAACCTGATTCTCAAAGTGTCATGTCATTACAGCCTCGAGATAGATATGAATTGTTCAACTTGAATCATTCCCAAGTGAGAGTTAGCATTGACCAATTATTTGGAGCCGTTAAAAATCGTTTTCGAATTTTAAATAACATTATTGAATTTCCAACTAAGAAAATTCCACAATTAACAAAATTTTGCTTTATTTTACACAATTTGTTAACATTCAATGACCTTCAATTATTTACAGCAGTAAGAAATATTATTAAGAATATCAAGGTCACGGATTTTGAAAGTGGTCGTGATCTTGATTCAGCTGAGGATCCTACGAGCTCTACTCAGACAAGAGCTAATGAATATTTCAGTAACCTGGTAACTGAAGAGACCAAATGTGAATCAAGAGTACAGAGATTGAGGGTCTCTTTAATGTTGGAAAGAAACTACATAAAGTCCTTCCCGTTGAGATTAAAGATGTTCAATTTCAAATCATATGACATTGTTTATGATGGACCGGTCGTCCCAAACTTTAGCAACGATGAAGGAATATCTATCCAAGGGAGAAATCATCAACTATTGTTTGAGCAAGTTTTGATTTCGGTTGATAATGGTGTTTATAAACTACAAAGAGAAAAGTTGGAAGTGTTGAAAAGAGATATAGCTCAGTTCACCGACGAAGAATTGACTCAACAAGTTCAGACAATCTTCAATGGCACACAGTGATGAGTCTGGCTACGGAATAGAATAAATAACGGTTTTTGATATGTATATACTGATATATGGAGTTATGATTTGATGCAACATTGCAAAGTCTTCGAATGTAATTGTTCTATCAGTAGTTCGCGAAAGTGTACAGTAGGGAAAATGTCACGTGACTGATAAACTTATGTATATTGTTTAAGCTGTGGAAATTAGCATTATAGAGCTATAAATGGATTAAATGGATCAATAGATGGTTATAGAAAGTGTGAATATTAACCTTTAGACACGTTGTTTTCTATGAACTCACGGGTGAATAATTTTGTTAGTCACACTTTATTGTTGATTGCTTTGATTGGCAATCGAAAACCTGGGGAAGAAAATTGAACAATTGAACAATTGTTTGAAGAATAAAGGGTAACTAGATTGAAATGAGGTGAAGGTAAGTGATAAGTATATAAATGGATGGAAATAATGAGAATAGAGAGATCATATGGCTAGCTAAGGTCTAAATATTACTTGATCAATCATGAATTATCCAAGGAATGCACAATTGTTAATAGAACGTTATTCCTTTAACGGTTAATTAATATTATTATCCACGCTTTTCCCCTTCCATTAACTCTCATTGGACTCCCAATATGGAAATACAGCTTGATTATTAACACAATTATGAACAGAATAATCCATTTGACATGCCTTTGACATCATGAATTAATTATGACTCCCCACATGAAAGGCCTTACATCAAACCCTTCACTTTCCTCGGAGGGTCTCTTTTGACAGGTAATTTTCACATTGATGATCATGAGAATAATTTTATAACAAGAGTATACAAGTGGAGGAATACGGTAACTATAAATACAAGGAATAATCCCATTCCCATTCCAAATTGTTCCTTCTCTAACTATTCCATACTCAAAATGAAATTACAATTATTAGTCCTTGCTTCATTAGCTTCAATCATTAATGCTCAATCTCAAGATGTTGCAGCTTTAACAGGTCTTTATGGAGATATCTCTGGTCATATTTCTGAATATTTATCCTATGTTCAAGATGGTCATTCATTACCTGCTGGTTTATTGAATTTGTATCAAGAGGTGCAAACTTATACTGATGATTCTTATACAACTTTATTATCAAATGTTGATGTTGGTCAAGTTGAAAGTTTTGCTACAGGATTACCTTGGTATTCTTCAAGATTGGAGACTATTTTTGCTCAAGCTACAGAGGGAAGTGGAAGTGGCTCTAGTAGTGTTTCACACTCTTCATTAGATTCTTCATTAGTTGGTGGTTCAAGTTTAGTCTCTTCAATCACTTCATCAGCTTCATCAGCTTCTTCAGCTGCTAGTTCAAGTGGTGGTGGTGCTGGAGGTGCCGGTGGTTCAGGTTCAGAATCAGGCTCTCAATCAGGCTCAGAATCAGGCTCAGGCTCAGAATCAGGTTCTTCACAAAGTGGTTCACAAAGTGGCTCGCAATCTGGATCACAATCAGGTTCTCAATCAGGTTCAAGCTCTAATGGTGGAGGTTCATCAGGTTCAGGTGCTGGTATGGGTCTTGGAGAACAATCTTCACAAGTTGTTTACTACTTGCTCCCATTGATGATGGTGTTAGCAGCTCCAGCTTTATTATGATTAATGTTGTTTAATTTATGAAAAGTGTGTATTTCTTCAAAGGGACTTGTAGCATTTCTTTGACATTTAACCGATTGGACATCTGAAAGCCACACGAGAGGAGTAATTCGAATAGCAAGCACTAGCCCTTCTCTTGTCTGATTGGCCAATTCTTCAACGGCACCAAAAGTTACAAAATGGAGCAGAATCAAACGAATAAACGAATTCAAATTCATATTGCAAAAAAGGTCACAATTTGACCAATAATGTATAGTGATTACATAATCAGCATGGCTCTCCTCTTTGGCTGCCGACCGTTTAATTCCGTGTTTTCTACAGCTGTCAAAATGTCATCATCAATATGCTTTTCAACGGTTGTTGTATTACTATAAGCTGTGTTGATGGTGACTTGGAATACAATTAGCTGAACTATGGTGCTGTTAAGAGGAGATGCTGGTTAAGTGATGGTTAGTTGCAATTGGAAATCAGCTGACACCGGCCATCTACACAATTGGTCTACAGAGTTGGTACCCACCTCGTTCCCATGAATGCCCATAATTTAGATAAATATCCCAAAAGACCTAAACATCAACACCTTGAGCCAGTTACAGCATGGTTTAATACTGTCCCCATGCCCTTCCAGCCAGCGATTTCCATGTCCAGTGACTTATCTTTTCCCCATGAATTGGGAAAAGCTTGTATCATGCTTTCACTTTTTTACAATTTCAAGGACATCTCATACATGAACAAGTCAGAAAATACCATTCATTCCCCTTCTTTTCAATTGCAAGATCACAAACCGTCTAATTTTGGTGAATGCCCTGGCTGTTTTAGGAAATGCTGTACCCTTGTTTTTAGTGCTTCATACATATGGTAAACATCAACTTATACACACAACATGAGGTATATGTGAATCTCCTCCTCAAAGTTTGATCCTTTCAATTATAAAAACCCTTTGAATCTCACCATTTTCCCATAGTTTTTATATTCTCTTTCACTTCCTCTATACACTTTTCAAAAGAAAACCCTATCCACTCGTTCAATTATGAAATTATCAATCATCACTTTAGCTTCATTAGCTACATTAGCCACTGCAATTGATCAAGACGAAGTCGCTGCAGTCACTGCTCTTTATGGTGATATCAATGGTCATTTATCAGACTATTTAAACTATATCCAACAAGGTAATGCCCTACCAGATGGTTTATTAAACTTATACCAAGAAGCTCAAACTTATACAGATGATTCTTACACCACTTTATTATCAACTGTTGATTTCAACGCCGTTGAAGGTTTCGTTACAGGTTTACCATGGTATTCATCAAGATTAGCTGGTGCTTTTGCAAGTGCCACTGGTGAAGGTGCTGCTACTACTTCAAGTGCTCCAGAAACAAGTAAAGCTGCTTCTTCCTCTGCTGCTGCTCCAACAACTTCAAGTAAAGCTGCTGCTTCTTCATCTGCTGCTCCAGTCACCTCTGAAGCAAAATCAACAACTGCTGCTGCTCAATCTTCAAGTAAACCAGCTTCAAGTGAAGTCGCTGTTAGTACTTATGAAGGTGCTGCTGCTAACAATGGTCAATCTTTGATTGCTTTGATTGTTCCATTTGTTTTAGCTGCTCCAGCTTTACTTTAATTCAATTGAGTGTTGATAATTTTTTAAAACTTCTTTTAACCCTATTCTTTTAATTCTAAACTTATATAACTCCGCTAAGTTATTATATATGTTGTTTTATTGTGTTTGAAATATTGTATATAAATGTAGTTTATCATGGTTGAGCTTCTCCGCCAATAACCGACGCTACAATCATAACGCAGGGAACTACAATATAAATAAAGTAGAAAGAAGCGTATCAATAAAAGAATTATAAAGAGAGAAAGATCAACTACATGCCATAAACCTTTACGACAATTAGATGAAAAAAATAGGTGAAAATGACTGCGATCAATCAATCAGTAAGTTTCAATTGGAATCAAATAGAACCAATCTAGTACCAACTATCATGGAAAGATCCAGCCATAAAAAACACCTCCCGTTGTTATCCCCAAATGATAATCTAATAACAATCAAATCATCTTCCACTTCAGCCAGGGACCTTGACTTTCAGTTTCGTCATCAATTGAAATCATCAATATCATTTGTTTGGATGGAATAACAACTAAAGATCAACTGGTCTTAATAATTGAATGATCAGGCTTCAAGTTCATGTTCATATTCTTGTTATTATTGATTTTTTTTTTTTTTTTGGCTTCTTGTAAACTTCCTATGACTTTTGACTAGTGTCAAAGAAAACATTATTCTACCAATAAATTGGCATCTTGACTGACTCAATACTTTTCCCGCACTACACAGGAAAATGAAGCAAGTAATGAATTCCCATCAACATCATCATCAAAAGCTGAAAAATCCCGAAATCATAACTTCATCAATTCTCACAAGTTTCCAGGAATCATAAGTACATCTAAATGTAGTCCTCCCAATTGACCTTCAACATCTATTCACTCTTTAAATCCTTTAATTGAAAACATATAGTCAAAATCTCCATTACGTTCCCCTATTTCAAAATAATTCAAGAGGAATACATCCACCATGAAGAACTGAACCTTGTAGAAACCCAATAATGAAAAAAAAGTAAAAAGTAAATAAAAAAGTAAATCCCCCAGATCCCAAACAATCAAAATGAATTAAAGCCCCCAGTTCCCATGCTCAATAAAACTAAAATCCCCCAGATCCCACAATACAAGCCCCCCAGTGCCCACAATAGAAATCAAAACCCCCAGATCCCAAAACCAAAACTTGAATAAATCAAGAATTCATGACAATTGTTTGCAACAAGTTTGAAACAAGTCCAAAGGACAACCAAATGGATAAAAAAGTAAACAGGTGTAATGCCAACGTTCAAAAAAAAGTTTGTAACAACATGGAAAAGCAAAATCAGTGAAAAGTAAACAAGTGTAAGACAACAGTGGAAAGTCAGCAATGAAAACCCAAAGAGAATGACAAGACAAACATAAATATCTGTTAAATAAAAGATAGTTTAACATCACAGTTTTTGATCATGAAAAGAAAAAAGTAAATGATAATACCAAAAAGCAAGAATTGGAAATGAACAATGGATGATGATGGCCCGGGGTAGAAGTCAACGAAACAAAAGAGCACCATTGGGGGATGATATCTTCAAACACAAGATCAAGAACAACATATGAAAACAATCATAATCGATTTTATAGAAAAACAAAGAGGCTTGGGGGAAAAGTTCTTACGAATCATCAGAATCATGTAAACATAATAGTCATCCTAGGTTATTTGAAATGAAAAGTTATAGCTATCTCATCAAGAATCCTCCCATAATTGTAGATATAAGTTCAAGGTAACAATGAAACCCAAATACTCAATTCAAAAGAACAAGCTCTCGAATCTTTCAATGGGGTAGTGAATCAAAGTACTTCCTATCAATCAAGCCCACCACTGACCTTCATGATAGTAACTCATCAAACAAGGATAACGTATCTCAAAGGACACTAGATTCATCTGACAAATAATAACCTTTCTAACCATCAAAGTGAATTGTGAATATTGACAGAATATCAAGGGTCTAATGAACATGAGCATTCTACCTGGAAATGAATGATGAATGGAAATGAATGAAAACACCAACAGTGAATTATGAATTGTAAAAGAATACAAGTTGATTGGAATTCCACCTTCTTTTAACCTTTTCCAAGCCAATGACACAAAACCCAAAGCAACCACAAACCACAAACCACAAACACCATAGTAATTGAATTATTCTCCTAAGTAATTCATCTTTGTGTACATGACCACAAACACAAAACAATGTAAATTTCTATAGGCAACCACAAAAGCAATCTAATCTCTTCAATGACATACATCCAACGGTCAACCACAAAAACGATACAATGTAACGATAATTGGATTCTACTAGCAACAAATCACAAACCTACTTTTTTAAAACAATTGTCAATAGATCGGAGAAATCAATTATGATTTTTTGTAAAGGTTTAAGCTGACTAAGCACATACAAGAAAAAAAAAATTTGTAGCTCTTGTTTGTTGCATTCCAAAAACCTGTTGTTGAACACAGGAAGACGATTTGTATCCAAATGGTAGCGTATGAAACTTATAGACCTAGAGTGGTAATAACCTCTTGATTGTTCAATTCACTATATAACCAAAAGACAAGTAAACAATGTATCATTAGCTGGTCTCAGGCGATTGGAATTCTATTGAAGTGCGCCTGAAATGTCGACGGACCCTCAACTACAGAGTGTGAAATAAATCAATTAACAGAATTAACCATATCCATATTGCTGTCTGGTGGGTGCTTCGTTTTGTACCTTATAATGTCAGGACTTAGTTACTTTGGTTGGTGATTAAAATTTCCTTGCTTAGTTTTCTGATTTACATGAAATCTGATTTCCTAGTCTTTTGATTATCTGTGATTAATGATTAATTATACTGAAGTTAATTCGATAACACAAAAGATCAGGGAAACGAAGCTATTTCGTGATATCACGAAGATGTTCAGTATTGACGCTTTTTGTTGTGAGTCTTTCTAAGATTATCCGAATTGGTTTCAATACAACATTATATATTTTCCAATACCTGATGTTGTAGACTGATCAATATCCTGCTTTGTAAAAATAGGTCCTACTTTTATGATGCATCTGACTACGTAATGAATTATATGTAAGTGCAACTGATCAGATCACAAAATTAAGACAATATGTCGACATTAAGCTAGGGCTTTCTTCTGAATTTCAATTGGTATTGATTTCTCAATCGTAAAATTGAACAGTACCTGCAATTAACATAAGAATAATTCCCTATAACTGATTTATGGTCCACCCTGAAGTTTAATTACGGCCAGTAAAGAGTGTGTAATCTAATCAAAACCTAAAAGAATTAACTAGCTAGTGCCCAAATAACTCATAGCTCATTACAGCTTTCGACTCAATAATTGATTGGGTGGTAAATTGTTAACGTCCTTTCTTTAATTTTGAAAGCCGCAATTTTTTTTCAACATCTTCGAGACCAAAAAATTAGTTTCAAGATTAACAAGTTATATAATTACGACCTCGATTCATGAATCGACAAACCAACTTCCAGCCCACCTTTCCCAACGAATAATCAAACCACATTGAAACAACTTTAAAGTACTGTTGAAGTGCATGATGATGGTTTCTCGGCTATTTTCTTTTCATATCCCAAAATTTACCCATTGAAGTCCAAATAAGGAAATTCAAAAGCATCTCAACTGATTTTGATATATAAATTACAGACAGTATCCTCAAAAAAAAGTTTTCAAAAGCTGAGTTGTATAGATCAGTACTCCATATCTCGTTCATTTATTATTTCTCAAATGGTTCAAATTCTTTCATTTTTAACAGTTTTATCAGTTTCTGCATTATCACTTGCACAGAGTACCATAACTTCATCAGCTAGTTATAGTCCAGATCAACTTTCATCAGCTTCTTCAAGAGCTTTACACTCTGATGCTTCATTCGTTTTAGCTTTCTTGGGTGATTTTATAAGTCGTTCAACTTATTTAAATTTCATGAGGGAAAATTCAATGACATATCCTGCAGATTTACAAAATTATGTTGTTAGATTACAAAGTATTACTGATGACCAAAGTTTAATAGCTGCTTTAGAAACTAGAAGTTTCCCATTCAATGATTTTGTTACAATGTTTACCAAATTTGATTGGGCTTCAAGTTTCATGAGTGAACAAGGTGTTTCATCATTTTATGTTCCTCAAGATTTCTTAACTGCTAACGGTGCTGATGCTTCAGTTACTCAATCAGGTTCTCAAAGTAGTGGATCACCATCATCAAGTGGTTCTTTCGCTTCCAGTACTGGCTCTTCCTCATCAGGTTCTTCAGGATCAATAACTTCTGCAGCAAGTTCTTCAAGATCTGGTTCTTCAAGATCTGGATCTTCATCAGCTTCAGCTACAAGCTCCCAAAGCTCAAGTTCTACAAGATCCTCGGCTTCAAATGGTGTTGATTCTTTATACATTCCAATCATCTCATTACCTGTTATGTTTGTTTCCTTGTTTTTGCTATAATGGGGTGCTTTCTCATCTCTTTGATCAGCAGATAATAATTATGTTAAATTATTGCGTTTGTTTAACGAATGTAGACAAGTTTCCACTCTTTCAACCTATAGATTGTTAGTTTTCAAAAACAGTACTAAGTTAATGAGGTAATACCCACAAAGTTAATAAAGTTTATATCTCGAAGTTTTTCATTAAGCATTTTCTTCAAATCTTCATCACTCAAATCTTTCAACTCTTTTGATTTTGGCTTTAAGATTTGTGATAAGTAGTCATTGAACTGAGGTTGAGGCTCATTATCACTCTCCACAATCTGTGTGCTTGATATTTGTTGGAAACTTGGTTGCTGACGAGCTGGTTGAGGTTGACTCATCTGAATAACTGGCTGAAGTGGTTGGGGTTGGCTCATTGGCATCACATTCATCAATGACTGAGAATCCGAGAGCTGACTGAATGGATCAATAAGTGTTTGAGCTAAGTGTGGTCTTATAAATTGTGATGATGGCTGATTATAAGTTGAGGGATTTGAATCATCTTTAACATTAAAATTATTATCATGTAGGAATGCCATAAACTGTTGAAATTCATTAGCTGAATTAAAACTAACTTGGAACCTTTTGGTTTTGGTAGTTGTTCTTTGATAGTCTATGAATGTAATATATTTGAAACCAACTGATGGGAACTTCGCATAAATTGTCAAAGGTTGTTCACAATTTTGATTGATTGTTTTGACATCTAATTCTTCCTGGAATGAGTTAGTCAAATTTCACAAGCAACTTTTAAAGCAGGTATAGTCAGACTAGAACACTTGATTTCCAAATGACTTTTAAGAGGTAATCAGAAGGGTTCTTTGATGGTAGTAGAGGTGTGTTTTTGTTGATTGTTAGCACAATATCATTTCTAGAAGGGAAATGCTCCCAGTTGTTGCCATTGTTGGACTGTGTGAATGGCTCTATGTAGCCGTGATCCTTCAAAAACGAGTACTTTCTGATGCTGTACATTTTCAACATGGCGGCAGGTGATGTTTTGTTTATTGAATCTGTTTTGTTTTGATTTGAATTGCTGATGTTTTTGAAGGAACTTGAAATCTGCCATTTTGAGGCGGCTACGTGCTTTTCGGAGTTAATACCTCTTTGAGAGGGTTCTCGGTTTATATTCCCAATATAGAGATTACCGTTTCAGGTATCTCAAATACTTTTCTTGGATGGCACAATTTCCATGCCACAGCACTTCATCAATCACCAGAATTCGATTCTAAAGAGCATGTGTAAACAGAAAAAAAAGTGATGCCGGAATGATCTGAACAAATATTACGATATAGATTTTGCTCTTGTGCAATTAAGATACTACTACCCTTTTTCAGTGGGTTCCATTAATTAAATACCCAGAAACAAAAGCCTGGTACTGTTTATCAAAAGCTGATTAAGCTGATAGCCAATCCCTTATCAATTAGTTAACAAAGGCCAAAAACAAAATCCAGAGTACTTTCATCCCTATTTCACGTTATTAATCACACAGTTATTGCAAATACAAATCAACTGGATCTACAAACCCATTCCATTATATAAACCACAAGAGGGAAACTTTTCTGATCTATTCCTTTCCAATTATCCAAAGGCTAACAACCATGTCATCATCAAAAGACCTTTTAAAGGATAGCATCACAACCGTGGAGGTGAACTCAAGGAGTAATAGTGATGCTTCAGAGGATCAACTCCTGTCTCCTATCCACTCTCAAAGGTCTTATGGATCTCTCCACAAAGAGCTTTTAAATGATTCCGTACTACAAATCGATTTAGAAGATTTGCCCCATGGCCGTCATTTAGGTTTATATTCCACTATAATTTTATTCATAAGTAGGATTATTGGATCAGGAATCTGGGCTACACCTTCTAATGTGTTTGCTGGTGTTGGTGGTAACCCTTTTTTGTTTTTCACAATGTGGTTGATTGCTGCATTGATGGCTTTTGCTGGATTATATGCTTATTTAGAATTGGGTTCAATAGTACCAAGATCTGGCGGAACTAAAGTGTTTTTGGAATTCATTTATCCAAGACCAAAACTGTTGATTAGTGTTGTGTTTTCATTATTCACTTTAGCATTTGGAATAAGTTTGACTAATTCTATCGTGTTTGGGAAATATACCCTTTTTTCATTAGGTTATTCTTCTGAATTCATTGATTCTTCAAATTGGTCAAACTATATTGGGTTAATTCTTATCATTGTCACAACTCTGATTCATGGATTTTCCACTAAACATGGTGTTTTTGTTCAAAATGTCCTTGGTGCGATGAAGTTGTTCTTAGTTGCAATAATGTCATTAACTGGGATTTATGTCTTGTTCTTCCCAGAAAAACTAACAGGCTTACCAAACCATTTGGATATGGATAAATTCTTCAAGTTTGACGATTCTTCAATAGTTACAGCATCAAGTGTTTCATCTTCACTATTAGGTTGTTTCTTCACTTTTGGTGGATGGAATGCTGTTCACACAGTTTCTAGTGAAATCAAAGATCCTGTTCGTACTTTGAAAATAGCGGGCCCAGTTTCTTTACTGATTGCATTCTTTAATTTCATATTGATTAATATTGCATATTTGAAAGTTATCCCTCATGATGAAGTCATTAAAGCTGGTCCTTTAATCGGCTCTATCCTTTTTGAAAGAGTTCTTGGTTATAGATTAGGAAGACAATTCTTAACAATCTCCATTGCTTTGAGCTCAGCCTCTAATGTTTTTGTTGTCGTCTATTCAATTTCAAGAATGAATCAAGAAATCTTTAGGGAAGGTTATTTACCATTCAGTTCAATTTTTGCCTCAAATTTCAGACATACAAACACACCGTTATGGTCATTATTGGTTTGTTCAGTGCTAACCTCTTTTTGGTTGATTTTACTACCAGCAAATGGGAAATCATTCAACTATATTGTTAGTTTGGAAGGTTATTCTACCCAAGTGTTTTTATTATTGATAGCTATCGGGATATTCATTATAAGAAAAAAGTATCCAGATCAAAAAGCTCCAATCAGAGCAAGTATAACAGGTACTGCATTGATTGTTGTGGTATCGTTATCTGTCTTAATAAGTCCATTCTTTAGCAAGAATGATAGTTCAAATCCAACTTATATTTCTTATCTACCTCCATATTATATTGCTTCTCCATTTTTATTATCATTGGGTTTAGCTTTTTGGGCAATTAAGTTTAAAATCTTGCCATATTTAGGAAGTTTTAAATATCATAGAGAAATTGAAACTCTTGATGATGGGTTGACGGTTAAAAAGTGGGTCAAGGTTCATTATTAGGACTGTGTTTAATTATTCATTCATTTAGGTTCGGTTTAGGTTTTCGTTCATTTACTCTTCTTACATACAATATAGAAATTTGGTTCTTTACTTAAATGACTCGTACATTCATGTTGATTTCTTTACTTCATCTAAACCTTTTTGTAACAATTTCAAGCTGGGATCTAAAAGTTTTAAAAATCTAATCAATTCAAATCCGGTTTCCCATAGCTCATCATCATTTTTAGCATTCTCAAAGATAAGCTTAAATATACTAATGATTTGTGTTTCATCTGTGATTTTATAATAGTTTGTGTTTTCTCCATTACCATCTTGAATATCATCTTCATCTTCCTTTTCATAATTCAAAAAAATTATTATCAAATTACCCAAGATATTGAATTGTTTCTTTTCAATACTCGAGTCTAGTAAATCTTGTGGTGTCAATTTCAATTGATTAAATAATCTTGACCAATATTTTACTTCAATCTTTCTCAAGCATTTAGAAACAACATTTAATTCAAAAATTGGATTGATCTTGATCAATTTCGAAAGTTTGGTCAAATTTTGATCATTGACAATGGTTTGATATAGCAATAATTCTAAACTATACTGGAAGTTCTTGTACCTGCTGTATTTCTCAAAAACAGTAGCTTCATCATTGGTTTGTAATTCAAATCTAATCAAATCATGCAAGAAAATGGAATTTTTGCTAGTAAAGTTGTTAATTTCTATTGTTTTCTTTTGTACTAATGAATTTTCCATTTTTATCAACAAACCCTTTTCCAAGATTAACAAGATTGGATATTTCTCAACAGAGATCTTCAAGATTGATTTCGAAGGATCACGGGTCTTTAATAATTCACCCAGGTTTTTTATCAATAGTACTGATTCACCATTGTAAAGATAGTACTCTTCATCATTGATTTTGTAAATGTATTCAATCTTATCCAAAAGCAAAAACTTTTCAAAATAGTTATTATCCTTATATTTCAAGAAAATGACTTCTCCGTTGTTTAATAACAACAAATCATTATTTTCATCATCATCACTTTTCACTTTAATAATGCTTCTGAAATTGTCATTTTCTTTGAAAATCTTATCCAAAGCCAAAATTCTAATCAGATCAATCTTAAAACTTGCACCGACTGTTTCAATCTTGAAATGGTAAAATTTGTTATTTGTTGTATATACAACAATATCTTTCCCATATGAATTCAATAATTTGATATCAGTATCAAAATCATATTTGAATATAATAGCATCAGAATTGAAATTATCCTTTGAGCTAAATCTTCTAAAATCAAAAATCACCAATTCTGAATTAAATTTTGATTTATTAGTCAACAGTAACAAATTAACCCCTTCAAACCAAGTGATGTGCCCAATTTCTAGATCTGCATTGAAATCATTGACATAAAAACTCCATTCATTATCGACAAAATAATATATTAATAATGCACGCTTATTTGAAACTGCTAAGAATTTTGCATCTTGTGATATGCTAACATTAGTGATATTTGGTAGTTGATAGTAATGCTCGAATGGTATTTTAATAGTGTTCCAGGTTGTTGGTTTGCTTAAAGAGGATGAGTTCATTTCATATCCAGTGTAAATGTGTAATAATGGACCACTCATCAAGATAGGTCTCCTAATACTATGATTGATTTGATTCTCTAGATATGTAGACTTTATCAGTTGGATTGAGAATATCTCTTCACCAGTAGTTAGGAAAAGTTGGGTAGCATTTGCTGTAATATCTAGATCTTGTATATTCTCGAGCCAATCAGAATGATAGTCATGCTCTTTTGAATTGAAAGTTACACCACCAAAAGTTGATAGTAGGAGCCAGTTTCCCTTTTCAAACAAAACACACAAAGCATTTCCACTTTTGCTCCATTGTAACTTCCTTACTTTACCGTACTCTGCAAAATCTTTCTCTTTAATTATTTGCTTGATTTCGTAGTTACAATAAACTAATTTATCACTAATCAAACCCACAACTAACTTGAATGAATCATTTATTGACGCCAGATCAACACTTTCAAAAACTTCTGGATCCACAATCGAAGTGAATGTATCTTTATCTTTTGTCATAAAAATTGTTTTCCCATTGTTCAATGTGAAATAAAACAAATCTGGATTCCAAGGCGAATGTATAATTTTTGTGACTTTGACATCTTCACCTAGTTTCAAATCAACAGTTCTGTTATCATCTCCGCTTAGATCCAAAAGTTGTACCCCATGATTGGTTATCAATAACAACTCGAATTGATTCAATGGTTCAAAATCGACAATCCCATGAGAAATTTTTAAAAATAATCTAAATCGTAGTTGAAATTTCCAAATGGGTCTCTCCACTTCAGCAGCTTGAAAGAATTGTGCTTGTTTTTCAGCAACCAATCCATTTTGTAAAAGATTGTTACTATTTTGATGATATACTGTCAACAATTCGCTATCAGAATTGGTATTCATTGGTTTCAATATGGCATATATGAGTAAAAAATCCTTATCAGTTTGAATCACTAGTAAATTATCATCATGGTTTCTTTTGAATGAAACATTGGCACCATATTTATCAATTGAAGTACTGGATCTCTTATGGGAAGCAATGGCTGCATTTGATGGCTCGTCATAAAGATGAATTGATTGATCTGTCAACACAATATAGGGCTGTCCTTCTGAATGGGCAGTTTTAATCTCGAGTATCTTCTCAGCAGTATTGGAGTCATCAGCATCCTGTCCATTCGGTAGAGTCACCACTTTGGGAGTCAAATAGGGCCACACCATCTTCTCAAACTGACTTTATCTGGTTTAATTTAATGATTTTTCCCTTGTTGTTGTCGTCCAAAACTTTATCAACAAAAAACACATTTCGCGAAAACAATCTGTGAATATTGCGGTAGGGACACTCATCTATAACCTCGAATTTGCAATTATTTACACTTTTCATTAGGTTTTATATAGACAAGTACTCTATTTACATTACTCATTCTGATGCTTCAATCACACCAGATCCAATACATCTGTCCCCATCATAAACGGCCAAATATTGACCTGGTGCTATTGCTCTCCGTTTCTCTCCTAATTGGAATATTAGTCCACCTTCATCAGTCTTGACGATTGAATCAAGTTTTTCAGCTTTTTGAAGCGATCTATACTGTACTGAAAGATTTGATACGTTGGATACAAGGTCATAATTAGGATCCAAAGGATAAAAATCCTTGACATAAACGATTTGTTTGAATAGTTTTGGATTATCAGTACCTCGAACAATTGTGATATCATTTGTTTCAAAGTTTTTAGCACCAACGTACCATGTTCCTTTATATTTAGGATCTCCTTGAGGCATTTCAAGGCGACTTCTTTGCCCAATCGTGGCACTCCATAAACCTTCATGTTTACCCCAAATTTTACCATCTTCAGTGATATAATTACCTGGTGATTCATTCAAAAAGTTTTTCAAAAAACTATTAAACTTGCCTTCACCTTGTGAAATGAAACAAAGTCCTTGAGAGTCTGGTTTGGAGGCAACTTCTAATTGTAATTGTTCAGCCATTTCACGAACTTCTGGTTTAGTAAAATGACCAATGGGTAACAAAATTCTTTTCATAACAGATGGATCAATTTGTGACAAATAATAACTTTGATCCTTTTGTTTATAATATGGTCTCATAAGATGATGCTCACCAGTATCTTGTCTTTGTAGAATTCTTGAATAATGTCCCGTTACCAACCACCAATTTTGATCTTTATACTTTTCAGAAACATATTCAAAAAGCTTCCCAAATTTGACATATCTATTACAATTAATATCAGGGTTTGGCGTGATACCTTTATTATATTCACCAAGCATTGGTTCAAAAACATCTATCCAGTATTCTTTTTGGAAATTTGTCTTTTCAATAGGTAAATCTAACTGTTGTGCAACTGCTTGAGCATCTTTCCAATCCTGTTCAAGACATCTCGAAGTATCCGATTGACTCCAGTTTTCCATAAAGATAGCAGTACAGTTCTTGTATTCTTTTGAATACAGAGCAGCAGCCACTGACGAGTCAACCCCTGAGGACATGGCAATAACCACCAGATCGTCTGGTTTGGGCTTGGGCTGTACATAACCTTTTGGTATTCTTGAAGATGGTATCGAGCTCAGTTCTCTTTTAACAGATTTCCATGGGAGTTTGGCTCTGGGTATTCTCCATGACGAGAGCAAGCATGATTTTATAAAGAAGCTCATCTAGATACTTTTCAAAGGTTTTTAAAGGTGGATTTGAAGCCTCTTAATATTACAAATGTTGAAAATTTATGTGACAATTTTTTTTTTCACGAAAATACCAAAGAAAAAAAACATCAAAGTCTATCAAACTTCAACAACCATTAACAAAAGTTTGTGCTCCTTTCCCCAGTTCAACGATGAATTCAAAGGTTACGCTGGGCTCTTTCAGCCCATACAACCGTATTGCAGGGTACATGCGAAGAGCATTGCCCGGGAAGCTCCCTAGATATGTCCAGATTTTGAAGCAGGCTAACGCTAAATCTGATTCTCAAGAAGACCAGTCAAAAAGTCGAAAAGATGTTGTTGTTGAAGTCCCAGGTGTTGTGCAGAATTGGAACTGGAAAAACTTTAAAGATCTGGTGTTGTTGGATATGAAATATAAAGATGCTAAGTTCTATTTCAAGCCAGTTGATGGCTTGACAGTTCCAAAAGTTATGTCACGGGTTGCCCTTGAAAGACTGTTGAATAATCAAATATCTGAACATTATGTCTCTGATGAAGCTTCCAAAAATGATGATTATATAAAGAGGTTCCCTGCAGAAGACACCCAAATTTATTATCTCCAAACAGTTATTGGTGAAAGCAGTGGAACTGAAGTTGAAAAACCAAAAGATACACAAGTTCCATTTGAATCGGCAATAGGACCAACAAAGTTTAACATCTCAAGTATAGTCATTTTTCAAAATACTAAAGCACTTGGTATAACGGAAAATCATCCAAATTTCCAAGAATTGATTGAAACTAAAGTTAATTTACCAATAATTGGTGAAGTTCCATTCATAAAGGTTGATAAAGAACAATTAGAACTAGAAGATGATGAAATTATTACTGCCATTACACCATCATATGTTTTATCACACCAAGTTTATTTTCCAAATGCTAAACCTGCTGAAGTCAACAAATTCCGGAATTTCATAACCAATGATAAAGTTGATGCTCACACTTTGGGTGCTTTAATTGCCCGTGAGTTTGGATTGGAGAAAGTTGAGCTAAGTACTGTTCCATATATTGTTTCAAAACATTTTGCTGAAAAACGCACACCACTAACAGGGGTTCACCAAGGTAAAGAAAGATTTTTACCATATTATGAAACACATGAAATAATAGCTCAAGGGCCATTGGGAAAACCTTTAGACAATCCAAATTTGTGGTTTACAAACATTACTCAAGCTGGTTGGAGAAGAGTGGAACATCAGAGATCTGGTACTGCACAGTACAACATTGAAAATCTAACATATATTCAACTTGGAAAATTATTACACGAAGGAAAAACTTTGAATAAAATGAACAATAAAAAAGAACAACTTATGCATTATGATAAATTTTCCACTGATATGTTTAGAGGGTTAATTTTATCTCAGAAAGATATATCAGATGTTGAGATTGATGCTGAATTTCAAGTTATTGATTTGCTCTCCAATGTTTTGAATTATCATTTAATTACAAATAAATCAAGACTTAATGATGGAATTGATGGATTCCATCCTAGAGTTTCTGATATCTATGAAGGTGATAAGGCATTATTATTAAAACCATGGGATCGTGTTATCATTGACCGTTTCTACAAAATTGAAAATAAGAAGGATGTTGATGACTTTATCAAAAATTTTGCTATTTATCAAATGATGGTTCATTCAGAAGGTGATTCTGATAAGAATAGATGGAAGTTTGTCTTTGAAATAACTTCAAATTTATTGATTAGGTTTTTAAATGATCATGGTAAGGCTTATTATCCATCAATTTCTGATTATTTCTTGAAAGCTCTTGGATATACAAAGGAATACAAGACAAATATCTTACCAGGGGAAACCACAAATTCATGGACAAATTATATCGAATACCCAATTGAATCAGTTGGTAATACTGCATTGAATGATGAATTGTTTAGTGTTGCCGAACATATTTTTTCAGTGGTAAGAATTGGTCCTTTCTACAAGACAGATAAGGTTATTTTAACGGATAACAAAATCATTTTAGAGAATAAAGCATTGTTGGAAAGTATAAATCCAGAAGGTGAATTAATTTTCAATGAACTTGATAAAGATTTCAAATTGAATCATTTTATTGATAAAATTTGCGAAATTCAACCACAAGATAAAAGAAATGATAGACAAGAACCAAGATCAAATTCAAACTCACAGATTATTTTCTATAGAAATTATTTCAGAGGTGATGTTTTACCTGAATTTATTTTCAAGAAATTAAATTATCTAAAATTCAGAGTTTCTCCTGAGATTAAAACAGATTATTTGAGAAAAGATTTATTAGTTAAATTATTGACAGATTTGAAAAGAAATTTGAGTACTCGTGAAGCAGATCAAGTGAATTATCCATTAACTAGGATTGAAAGAGATAGATTATACTCATTCTTAAAATATTTTGTTGATAACTTGCCAGAAAAATTCTTCAGTCATCCTTTAATCTTAAGAATTACACCTGACAAGTTTAACAAAACTGATACAGATGCCAAATATGCTAGTATGTCAAATCGTATTTCTGGGGCTCTTGAGAACTATGAAAGGAGTGAAGCTAGATTAGATGATATCATCATGGATTTCCTACAGAGACACAATCAAAAATAGGTTATAATCAATTCGTGTTTTTATTCATTAGCTCATTAAATTCTTGTATATAATCTTAATTCATGACTTTATGTTGTCTTTGTTGTTTGTAGTACTTTGTGATATTATCATTTAGATTTAAAAAGTTTTGTAGCAAGTTGATAGATCTTATAAGTAGTTCATTATATTTCAACTCAAGTCTTTGTAGATGATTAAAGTTTCTCAAAATAGAATCAGATTTGTTCAATATTGAAACATGTTCAACTTGTAACTCATGTTTTTCCAAATTTTGTAGTATTATCAAGTTGTTTGCAAGTTTTTCAATTCTTTCCAAGTTAGCCAAGACAAACTGTTTCCTTATTTCAAGTTCCTGAGGATCTATATTTTGTAAATTCTCATCATAATAGAATCTGATCTTTGAATTGTTTAAATTGTTGAATAGTTTCTTCAGATTAGGATTTCCATTTATGAAGGCATTTAGATGGTTATTCAAAGTATCTATTGTTGCCACGACACTTTTATTCCCAGCATCTACATCTATAGAAGACTCCAAGTCGTCCAATCGCCTTCTCAATGCCTCCATCTTGATACTTCACAATCATTTAATATTAGAAAAGTTATCAAACTAAAACATAAACAACAAAACAAGTTCGCGAAAAAGCTCTAATTTACCCTGCTCCCAAAAAACGAATTCGCGAATTCTGACGTTGATTTTCAAAAGGGGCCAACTTTTGGGAATTTTTGGAAGAAGAAAAACCACACGATTAAGAACCAGAAACAGTTGAAAACGAGAAACAATTGAAATAGTTTTAAAATGGTATGTGATGGATTGGATTGAGTTGGGGTTGTGTGTGACTTTGCTGAGCAGAATTACACCCAATTGATGAAATTTCGATGAATTTATACTAACTAGCTTTGTAATAGTCAAGATCAGGGTACGTGTTATGATTATATCATTGCGGATTGAACAAGATGTACTAACCCTAAATAGTGTTGTTGTTGCAGACGAATCCTTAAAAGCCTTCAATGAATTGAAGTTGGGTAAAAAATACAAATTCATTTTATTTGAATTAAACCCATCAAAGACTGAAATTGTTGTTAAAGAAACTTCAACTTCAACAGATTATGATGAATTTTTATCAAAATTACCAGAAAATGATAGTTTATATGCTGTTTACGATTTTGAATATGAAATAAGCGGTGAAGGTAAAAGATCAAAGATCATTTTCTTTGCTTGGTCTCCAGATACTGCACCAATTAGATCTAAAATGGTTTACGCTTCATCAAAAGATGCGTTAAGAAAAGCTTTGAACGGTGTTGCTAGTGATATCCAAGGTACTGATTACAGTGAAGTCTCCTATGAAACCATCTTGAAGAAAGTCAGCAGTGCTGTATAAATGAGTTGATATAATTTACCAAAGTGCTATCATAATTTATATAACCATCTTTTGTAGTAGTAAAGCTTATATTCTCATTATCACACGTGACCAGTCACATGACATTCTCGGCTAGTCTCGGCGTTTACCGGAACTTTTCTGTGATTGTGCATTTCTCGAATCTCGAGAATATCAAAAAAAAAAGTTGTTTGACGGTGATTAGAACGTCTTGATGTATAAACTGATAATTCTTTTGAAGTCTTGGTGACTTCTATGTGCACACCATACTGGAACCCACAGAACAAGAAAAGTATACAAGCATAACCATCCCATTTCTGTCGTTGTTTCACCTGGATCTTCCCACAGCCGTTTCCATCTCCCGTATTATTTTAGATTATTATAGAGATTCCAATTTTATAGAAGGTACAATTTTGTGTATAAATAAAAAGGAGGTTGCACTTTGGCCAAAACCTTTAAATTAGTACATTTGGGTACTAGAACAAAACAGGTCCACTTTCCAATTATGTCAATGCTTATGTCCACTCCACAATGTTTGAACAATACCTCTGGTATTGCAACCAACAGTTATAAAGTTTCAAAACCTAAAACTAAACCAAGAACTACATTAGAGGAGAAGATTATGATTTTGAATCATTACCATCAATCAAATAAACCACAGGCTGATACTGTTGAATTGTTCAAGAATAGATATTCCATATCCACATCGTCTTTTAGTGAATGGTTAAAGGATGAAGAGAGTTTAAGAAATTTATACAATAATTCTAATGAATTTCTCAAGAAATCTAAAAGAAAATTAAGATTCAAATATGATAAGATCAATGAAGAGATGGATAAATTAGTTGAAGAGAGAATTCAAAATAAAAAACCAATCAATGAACCATTCCTCAGAGAGAATTGGGCAATTTTTGCCAATAGATATGGTGTTGAAGATCCAAAGAGATTGTTAAGTTTCAGTCATGGATGGTTATCTCAATTCAAGAAAAGACATGGGCTAGATAAACAATCAAGAATGCGCAAATTATCCACAACATCTTTATCTTCGCCGAATTGTGATGCTGCTTCTATAACTTCAGATACATCTTCAAGTACTTCATCTACAGATACTTTGGTTGAAACCAGCAATAACACCAACATCACCAATGAATTGGAGAACATGAGTGGCATAAACCCAATGAAACCATCAATAAGTACACAAAGTTTTTTGAATTTAGATGTGAATGAAGATTATTTACAAACAAATATAAACAACTATGAAAATTTGATCAATAATGCTTCAAATAATTTCATGCCAATTCAAATATCAAACACACCAACATTATTACAATCAGCATCTTTATCTAGGGTCAATTCACGTCCTTTACAATCCAATTCTATTATGAATTCAAGTATGACGAACCTTTTAAATTTTGCAAACACTTCAACCACTTCAAGTTCTACAAATAATATTGAATATGATCTTATCAATGAAGGTGATTTTGAAATTTTCTTGAATAAATATGGTGAAGATTTCCTGGGGTTCAACCAAGATAAATATCCAGAAAGTTTCAAGATTCTAGGTGATTTAAAAGATGTATTCAAGAAAGAGAAGGAAGGTTATAATGATAAAAAACTTAGAGAATTACTATTCAGAAGATAAAGAAAACAACAACATATTAAACATGATATACACGATTATTTTATGACAAGCTTATGACTTATATGACACACACACACACTAGAGCTAGACAGACAGTTTATTTAAATATTTATATTTCAACACAGTTAACATTTCTTACATAGAGCAACTAGATAGATTATACGAATTCTTATGATACATGAATACACTAATTCCTTGTAGCTCTCTTGTTCTTAAGTCCACGAGTATCAAGACTGCTGCAACCTGGATCTCCTCTGTACATCTGTCATGATCGAATGATTCTGGGGTTTTTCCTTTTCCCATTCCCGTGTGATGTTTCAGCCTCGCCAACTTGCCCCAGATGGTCAAATTGATGCAGAGGACAGGAGATTTTGAGAAATGGCTGTTCGAGCACTTGGCCGTTGGGAAGGCACACGTTTGGTTCGGTATTAAGAGCTGTTGAAGTCTATAGAATAGTGTGAATTTATGGTGGTTTAGGTTCTTTAAAATGTTGGTTTTGGTTGGTTATTGGCCATGGGGTGATGATGATTCCCAAGGCATAACCAGATTGAAAACTAGCGAATAAAACGGCTTGAGCCTAGATTAGCATACTAACGGACCTACACCAAGTTCCAACAGCTACTGCGGAAGTGCACAGGACCCGGAGAGGCAGTCATTTGAAGATTGTCGTAAAAAGAATCTGTTTTAGCTCAAGCCATGTTCAGTCCGTTGGCATGTTCACAACCCAGGTGCACAAGTAATAACTCCACGGAAATGGAGTTTGAGCTTTTGAACCAGCTCGAAATACATCTCTAATCGAGTACTTTTTAATTAATTCAATCAATAGCTATACGTATGGCTCATTACTTGGGGGTGTATTTGATCTTTTGGGTGTATTGTCGATAATCTGATCAAAAAATTTGAATTCTCCGTTGACCTCAACCAAAGATTCAAGCTGTACCATGTTATAACCTTAATCCTATGCTCAAAACCAGGATTTTAGTGTCATTTTGGTTGTTAACTCCAGTGCGCATGAGCTATCTTCTCTATTCAGCCCCAGGAACATCGTTTAGATATGATCATGGATATCCTCAAGTAACTAACTACAAACTCTTAAATATAATATACAGTTAAGAAACCCCTATACCCAATTAAAATAATATATAAAACATAATCATAACAAAAGTAAACTCTATAATCAACCAACTAACCCTTTTTCAATTAGCCCTTCTCTTCTTACTAGGATTAATAATCTCCTCAATCTCACCATCTTCATCATCACCACCATCATCATCATCTGCATGTTTTTTACTCAATTGATCATCATCGAAAATTTCACGAATCGTACCAATTTTTGGAGTCTCAACATAACCAGAATTATTATCATCTTGTATTAAATCTTGGTTTAAAAATTCATCAAGATCAAATGTTTGTGGTTGAGAATCTGAATTTGAAGTTGATGAATTCCCTGTATTTTGTTGATTCTGGTGTGGTGGTTGGTTTTGTTGGATTCTATTGATGATATCATTTATGGATTGACCTTGTTGTTCAATAGTTTTAGACAAATCTTCAAAACTTGGTTGATGGGTCATTACAGTTGGACGTTGTGGGTATTGTTGTTGTTGTTGAGGTGGTAATGGAGGTCCTGGTTGAGGTGCCATGAATTGTGCCTGTTGAGGTGGTTGAAATTGTTGCTGTTGAGGTGGGATAGCTGGGGGTTGCATTGACGGTGGTATTTGTTGGAAATCATCCGAAGGTAAATATTGACCATAACCCTGTTGAGGAGGATATTGTTGGTTATTATTATATTGTTGAGGTGTTGGTGGTTGTTGATATTGTGGAGCGGATACATAATTCTGGAAATTTGGAGTTCTAATAATCTCTTGAATTGGAGAATCATCAGTAGTTATATTTGATAATGGAGTTGAAGCGTTTGAAGGATTTGAAACATGGCGTGTTTGTTTAATCATTAATCTTGGTTTTTGTTGATATCCTGGTGATGAAACATTGTTATTATTATTATTATTATTATTATTAACCGAATGAGGAGTTTGAACTTGTGGACTTGGTTGTTGAGATTGTTGATTCTGCTGTTGTGAAACATGTTGTTGATAATGATCATAATTTGGTTGATTTGATAAAAATTGATTATGATTATTGAAATTCATATGATCTTCTAAAGCTTGAACTCTATTACCATAAACACTTGCTAAGAAATGTAGTATTTTTTCAATTTTTTCATTTTGCACCAAATTTTTCTCTCTTGTTTGAAATAATTCTTGCCATAAAGATTCATTATCAGATCTCACCCTTGACAATTCTTGAGTAATTTTCATTTGATTAGCCTTTAAAGTGTTTAGTTCATTAATCAATAGAGAAACATCAAACTGACCATTAGTACCATTCCCATCATTTGATTGATTATTACCAGCACCGCCGCCTTGCGTACTATTGTTATGTTCATCATTTGGTTTATTTCTAACAATCTTATCCAATAAATCAGGTCTACCCTTTTGGAAATTAGGATTAATAAACTGCCATTTTTCGTCACTATGTAATGAACCTGAACTTGCATCTTGAACTTTATGCCAGCCGTACATGTTTAATTGACGTACAAAACTTGCAAAATTTGAATGTTTGAAATATTTAGGCAAGATTTTTTGCACAAACAGTTCTCTATTAGTGACAAGGAATGAATTACCATCATGATACCAATTAATTAGGTCATGGTTATTTGGATCATTAACCATAGTCCATAATTTAAGGACAAATGCTGGTTTACTCTTTGTATGATGTTTTTTACCCTTTGAAGTGGAAGAAGAGCCTGGTTTAGTCAGAGCCATATAGTTTGGGTCCTGAAGATATTGTGTTAGTTGATTCTCAGGTTCATTCGGTTGTTGTTGTTGTTGTTGTTGTTGTAATATTTGAGGTGGGATGGTGGTTGTATTCAATATGGTGTCATCAGTAAGGGCTGGACCAGCAGCAGCAGTGTTGATGAAGTAGCCATTAGCAGCGTCTGAGGACCCATTGCTAGGGCGGTTACCTCCATTGGCAGACATGATAGCGAGCTGTTGTCTTGGGTGGAAGTGGTAGTAGTTGTTCTCAGTATCCTCTGTTGTCTTGATATTGAGCATTTGTCTTATGCTTGTTTTCCGTGCTTCAAAAAAAATTTATTGTGTGTGCTGACTAAGTGATTGTGTAAGCAAAAAGATATATAGGAGTAACGTTATACAGAGATAATTGGATAGCGAATGGATTTGATGGAAGTTTGATTAGTTGAATGAATATTCTAGAGTGAATTCGAGTGTATATTTATGTTTCCAAATGGATTCAGGACGTGGTTGTGGCTAGAGAGAGTGGTTTTGATAAAGAATTGTTCTATAGGTTCCTTTCGCTTCCACAATACAATTCTACCTAGTATACAGATTGAAAATAGTGTTTCTAGATCCATATGGCACCATGATTATAAGTAAAGTTTAGGCGTATTAGGGTCCATCGATGGTGATCAAGGTTTCAACGTTCCGATATGATTGCAACCCGATTTTAACATGTGACCTTCAACAACTATGCAAAAGTTTAGATGATAGACGTCAAAGTACTACATCAATGCTCTGTATTTGACCACTTTTGAAAGTATTTGATAGTTATTGATTAATACTGGTCCACCCCATACCAAAGAGCTAAACGATACTTATCTATACTTCAATATGCTTAAATAGTGTCGTATTAAACGATCGCCTGTGGTTAGATCATGGCATAGATCATGCATCTCGACAGTTTTATCGAAATTAGCCGAAATAACGATCCATTGACAAAATGAAAACTTGAAAAAGCCCCAATAAGACAATTCCATCCCAAAAAACACTGAATCTTCACGTTTTTTATTACACTATGTTGATTGAATTATGTTTATAGTAACTGCCATTCTAGCCCGTGTCACCATCCCACTATTTCGAGATCTCGAAGATTTGAAAACTCATCATCATCAACAACTGAGAAAGTAACAATTACACTTTCAACAAAGTGTTCAGTCATGTTTTATCGAGGTGCTGCTCCAAAGATTGGTTTTAGAATCACACAAAGGCAACGTTTCCAAAGAACAAACCAATTCCAAAGGTTTTTGGCATCAAGCGCTAAATCAACGAAAACAGACGCCAAATCTCCAAGTCGAGTATTATTGATTTCTGTATTCACAACTGGTGCAATTGTTGGTTTTTACTTTGCAGTGAGAAAAGTCCTCAATAACCCACCAGAGTTTCTATTCCCAAGCTCTTCCAAAACTGAACTAGCAGATTTACCATCTCCACAATATGCTAATCTATTGGAGTTCAAAGTAGCTAAAGATAAATTCTTGGAGTTATTAGGCAAGGAGAACGTTTCTGAAACCTCAAATGATATAGAGACTCATACTAAAAACAATTATACCCTCCATGAGCCCGAACCAAATGAAAAACCACAATTGATCTTATATCCATCTTCCACAGCTCAAGTCTCAGAGATTATGAAAATTGCCCATGATTTTAAAATACCAATTGTCCCCTTCTCTGGTGGAACTTCAATCGAGGGACAATACATATCTACAAGACAACCATGTATAATAGTGGATCTATCCAAACTAAACAAAATAATCAAGTTTAATGAAAAAGACCTAGATATAACAGTCGGTGCTGGTGTAAGTTGGCTAGATATAAATGAATACGTGGAACCCTTTGGGTTAATGTTTGGTCCAGATCCTGCTCCTGGTGCTTTAATAGGTGGGATGATTGGTACTTCATGTTCAGGAACAAATGCAATGAGATATGGAACTATGAAGGAGAATGTTGTGAATTTAACAGTTGTATTAGCTGATGGGAGTGTAATAAAGACAAAGCAAAGAGCTAAGAAATCTTCAAATGGCTATAATTTAACAAATTTGTTTATTGGATCAGAGGGAACTTTGGGTATTGTCACTGAAGCTACTGTTAAATTACATATAAAGCCTAAATATGAAACAGTTGCAGTTGTTAGTTTCAATTCTATTGTTGATGCAACGGATACTGTTACTGATTTGATTTCTCAAGGTGTTCAATTAAACGCAGTGGAATTGTTGGATGAAAAAATGATGAGTTGCATAAATTATTCAAATCAAACTTCAAAAAAATGGGATGTTAAACCAACATTATTTTTCAAAATTGGTAATAATAATTCCAAGATCTTAAAAGAATTGATTAAAGATGTTCAAAATATAAGTAAAACACATAATTATCACAATTTCCAATTTGCTAAAAATGAAGCACAACAAGTTGAATTATGGAGTGCAAGAAAATCTATTTTTTGGTCATCAATAGACTATGGAAGATCTCAAGTTTCACCAGATGTTAAAATTTGGTCAACTGATGTTGCAGTACCAATCTCAAACCTTTCATCAATGATTGAGGAAACCATAAAAGATACTGAACAAACAGGGTTGTACACTACAATAGTTGGTCATGTTGGTGATGGGAATTTCCATTGTTTAGTGATGTATGATGTTAAAGATTCTGCAAAAGCTATGGCATTAGTGAATAGAATGACAGAAAGAAGTATTAAATATGAAGGTACATGTTCTGGTGAACATGGGATTGGTGTTTCTAAAAGATCTCATTTAGAAGTGGAATTGGGCAAAGATACCATAGATGTTATGAGAAAGATTAAACTAAGTTTGGATCCTTTGAAAATTATGAATCCTGACAAGATTTTCAAAATTGATCCATCAGACAAGAAATGAAGCACTACACATGAATATTCAAATAAATTATTATTATATGGTATATTATTAAGTCATTAAACTGTATTGTGTATTTATTTAGCAGCAACTGGAGAAGAACCTTCTTCCAATCCACCTTCTTCATTGAATCTGATATCTTGAGCTTTTCTAAACAATTCATCTCTTTCAGCATCAGTTAATTCATTCTTCTTTTTGTTTTTAATCCAATACATTGGGTTCAAGTGTCTTAGTTTCAAGTTTTTGCAGAATGGTAAATGACCTCTTTTTTCTTCAAATAACATTAACCCAACAACAATGATTAAACATAACCAGTAAATGTTGTATGATAAGACAGAACCAATGTAACCAGTATTTTGCCATCCTAACAAAGCATTGAAGATATCCCAACCGTTATCTAATTCTGGATTACAACAGTTAACGTGATAAACAGCTTTAGAAATATCATAAGAACCATTACCATCACCAGATTCTGAAGCATCACCACCAGTTTTTTTGTTAAAGACATAGTTTTCAAAATACCAAACACCTCTTGAAAACAAACCTGCAGCAATCAAATATAAAATACATGTTGAAATAACCAAAAAGATTTGCATGGATGTATAAGAAACACCATAATACAACAACATACCTGCACCACAACCAGCAATTAAACCAACAACAACAGGTAATGGGTATGAAGAAGCCTTAGCACCTTTAGTGGTGATACCAGCACCAGCAACGAAGACAACAGCTTCTAACCCTTCTCTCAAAGTGGTGATTGCAGGTAGTAAAAACATTGAATATTTTTTGGTTAAGAAACCAATTTTGAAACGATCTCTTTTTCTTTCTGGAACCTCGACTAATGATTTAGCAATTTTAACTCTCCATTTAGCTTGCATCTTGTTAATTCTCAACATTGCAATACCCATGAATGAAATCATAACAGTTGCAATGATACAAAAGATACCTTCCCATAAATCCTCAGCACCACCAAAGATATCATGTTGTAACCCATAGTAAGCACCAATGAACCCACCACCGATACATAAACAAATGAAAACACCTGCAAAGGCACCTATCCAAACTTGTAATCTTAATTTTTTGTATAGTTTTCTATCACTTTCACCAATGGCTTGTTTTAAAAATGATAGTAAGACTGAAATAACAATAACAGCTTCTAAACATTCTCTAAGAACGACAAAGAAGACTGCCACGTTGAAAACTTTTGAAGTTGAACCCATTGTTTGTGTTTTCCAAGTTGATGTTCAAGTCAATGGGTTTGATTGTGGATGAAAATTAAGGATGAGAAACTGGTTTTATATATACGGTTGGAGATATTAATTGGAGGTGGAAAGTTTTTTTTTGTCAGAGATGGTTGCAGATTAATCTGATTATGCGTTCTGCATGAAAATAAGTTGGACGAAAAGACGAATTAAAACACCGATGGTTTGGAAGTTGGAAATAGAGAGGACAATCATGGCTAGTGGGTAGTAGGGGAAGGTCTTTTAATAGCTGATTCAGGCTTAAACCCAATCGCTATCAATCCACCATTCACCACTTCTTTTATTCTTCAACTTGGTCGACATGTGCTTCATCTTGGAAAAGCTTGTTTCTGGGCCTTACAACTTGAGTCAGCCTAGTGTTCCTTGTAGTACCAATCGGGCTTATGCTCTCTTTAGTTGGTTGTACAAAAGGACAAAGGACATCCAAATTATGATTCCGGCTGGAAAGGACTGGCCCCAAAAAACAGCCATACTAGTTGCAACACCTGAACATAACGAGTCCCAACGCCAAACAGCCAAAAGATTGCACCAGACCCATTAGCTGGTCTTGCATGTATGTTTACAATTCCCAGAGATTGTTGTGAAGTTTAGATTATCAACACTTTTGTGTCACTTTTACAAGTTCATGTTGTTCAAAGTCCAGTATAAATCTTGGCGTGGTATTTCGCTATTGTTGAAGGCTGCCGCATTAGGGAAGATTGCCGTTTTGGGGATGTGAAATATTTTGCAGGCGAGCCGTTTGCCTTGGCAATTTCCAACGGGCGCAGTGAAGATTTTAGAAGAAAACGAAGAAAACTTGTATGGAACTCAGATTAATAATTAATTAGAATGATAAATTGACATAATGTTGAGATGTTAAATTGATATAGATCTGGATAAGTTGATGTGTGGTAGAGTTGCAAATCTGATCGGAAAAGTGACAGGTGATATCTTTTCTATTCAATTCACTGAGATGTATTTGAATCTACAAAGCATGTAAACCCATCAGAAACGAAAGTAACTACATCCATCCCATTAGATATTATTATATTAGGTATTCATCATATATAAGGTATATTTACACTCCAATCTATTTAGCAGCAGCAGTTTGATTAACTTCGGAAATTTCACCTTGTTCATTAAATCTAACATCTTGAGCTTTTCTGAATAATTCATCTCTTTCAGCATCAGTCAATTCATTCTTCTTTTTGTTTTTAATCCAATACATTGGGTTTAAATGTCTCAATTTCAAGTTTTTGCAGAATGGTAAATGGCCAGTTTTTTCTTCAAATAACATTAATAAAACAACAACGATCAAGACTAACCAATACAAGTTATAAGCTAAAACTGAACCAATATAACCAGTATTTTGCCATCCTAATAATGAGTTGAAGATATCCCAACCATTATCTCTTTCAGGATTACAACAGTTGACATGATAGACAGCTTTTGTGACATCATATGAACCATTACCTGAACCAGATTCTGAAGCATCACCACCAGATTTCTTATTAAAAGTATTAGTTTCAAAGAACCAAACACCTCTTGAGAATAAACCAGCTGCAATCAAATATAAGATACAGGTGGAGATGACTAAAAACACTTGTAAAGAGGAATAAGAAACCCCATAGTATAATAAAACACCAACCAAACCACCAGCAATTAAACCAACAACAACTGGTAATGGGTAAGAAGTAGCTTTAGCACCTTTTGTGGAAAGACCAGCACCTGCGACGAAAACAACAGCTTCTAAACCTTCTCTTAAAGTGGTAACAAATGGTAACAAGAACATGGCGTATCTTTTAGCCAAGTAACCAATTCTGAAACGATCTCTTTTTCTTTCTGGAACTTCAACTAATGATTTGGCGATTTTAACTCTCCATTTAGCTTGCATCTTGTTAATTCTCAACATTGCAATACCCATGAATGAAATCATAACTGTAGCGATTAAACAAAAGACACCTTCCCAAATATCTTCAGATTTACCAAAGATATCATTTTGTAAACTATAGTAAGCACCAATGAACCCACCACCGATAACTAGACAGATGAAAACACCAAGGAATGAACCGATCCAAACTTGTTTTCTTAGTTTCTTATATAGGGCTAAATCATTTGTACCAATTGATTGTTTCAAAAATGATAATAGAACTGAAATGACGATAACAGCTTCTAAACATTCTCTAAAGACAACGAAGAAGACTGCAACGTTGAAGACTTTATTAGTTGAACCCATGATTAACGATCAATCAACACTGAGCAAATAATTAAACGTCGAACTAGTTGATAAATTGCTCAAGAGCAAATACTTTTATAAAAGCCATGATTAGGAAAAGGTATATATATATAATGAAAATATTTTCCCATGTAACGACTCATTTTTGTTGAAAGTTTTAAGCTCATAGATGGTGTAGATTAAAATGAAAAGTCTTGGTATTGATGGTTTCCTGGTGTAGGTCCATGTAGTTTCTTTTCTGGGATAGGGTCTGGAATGGGATTGGACAACTGGTGTGAAATGTCCTGATATTGATCAATCTGATAACTTTATGAAAAAGAAATCGGATGGGAAAAAGACAAGCTTTTCAAAGGCTTACAACAGACAACATGGGCTAAAGCTTTGGAGTGACTTGAGATTGAAGATCGAAGGTTAAGATTAATCATATGATTGAACTATTGCTTTATTATTTTAACTTCCATGTTCTCTTTCCTCCATCTCTTTGTTATGGGTTAGCTTTGATTTGTGGACAAAAGCTGTCCTCTTTTGGGGTGTGAAATAATTTTAGTCAAGGACACCCATGGATGAAATTAAATTGAACGCAGATGAAGATCGTAAAGAAGGGAAAGCGAAGGCTACAAAGAAAGATGGTGATACTCCTTATTAAAATACCTACTCTACTATCAATTACACTCTCCCTTTCTCTCTATTCTCTCTACTCTCTTTCCCCCTTTCTCTAGCTCCCCAGCCATCAAATATCCGATCAGATAAAAATGAAAAAAAAATCAGTCAAGAAAAAAGCTTAACCAGAAACGGGCCCTTGCCAAACAGCCAATCACAGGCTACAACACGAGCCAAAATTGGACCAGGTCGGGCTTAATTGTTGTATGGACAATGCAGCCACTACTATCAACTTTGGCCAATAGAAAAGTAGGAACACGTTAAGCTTAAACATGACGGTTGTACAATTCACGCCTTTATGCCCCCATTCAACTCTATGTCATTGGTTCGTTTGGAATGCACATAGTAATCACAATAATCTATACAATCACTTGATTGTTCAAGGCAGCCAGGTGGAAAGCTGAAAAGTCAAGTGACATGGGCTAAAAGAAACTTGATGAAAGAACTACTACAGTATGGCTCAGATCATCTTTGTTCGTTTTAAACGTCTTTATAGCAAATCATAAAGACGAACCCTATACAAGAATTAACACCTGAACCTGTAACATAACGTCGTGCATCAATTGAACACACTAGTGCTCGTAAAACGTAAAACTCAACAAATCGTAGGCCATTTCATCAATAAAAATTTTAACGCGCCTTCACCCGTTAAAAGATCTTTTAGATACACAACCAACAGTTCGATCAAGCACTTGGAGTTCCGCTTCAGACCGTCCAGTTTCCTCCTGTGTCTTGTGATTATGAATTCTGTGAACTATAGTCAACCAGTTTAACTTCCGAAAGCTGGCCATTCACTCTCTTTATCAAATGACGGAGCAGGTTCCCTTTTATTAGGCGGTATATAATTCATGTTACCATTGCCATTGGATAAATGCTGCTTACTATTCTTTCCTCTATCGTGCTTGAATTTCTCTGTCAAGGTTTTGAACCGCTGTGTTGTAACTGCCGCAACGTTTTTATTCAAACATGAAGATTTATATAGTTCAAGAGTTGTCAACAATTTTTGTAATTCTAGTTCATCCATACTATCCTGATTCAAATTCTTAAAAACATCAGAAATTGCACGACCTATCTTGGATAAGATCTCTTGATGATTCATCAATATCAAATATGTTTGAAATTCTTCATCTTGTAATTGTGCTATGGAACCATGAATTTTCTTAAAATTTTCAATCCTTAAATGATCAGAGTGGAACTTCCTTATACGCACATCTCGCATCACTTGATCTATCGCCTCCTGATACTCTTTATTCAATTGTTCAATATCATCATTATACTTAATCTTTGATGCTAAAATCTCTTTCAATTTCTTATTTTGTTCCAACAATTGTGTCTTTTCATCCATAACATCACCAGTACCATTACTACTTTTCGCAACTTCACCACCACCAAACTGTGCAATAAACCCATTCAATTTCCTAATGACATCTGAATTATCAACAAGTCCATGATTTAGTTGCTTAATCAATAAATCAACTTTTGTCAAGATATTATTCTTCAATTGTGTATTTTCATCAGTTATCGATCTCAATTCATCCACTATGTTATTGAAATGCTCCAAGTTCTCTGATTGTGGTATATAGTTTTCTGAAACTGACATTATCAAGGGATTGATCCACCAGAAGGTTAGGTTGATGTCAAATGCTTCGTTTGGTGATGAAATGTTGTTTGATCCTTTGTTTACGCTTTCAAAAGGGTTCGCGAACACCAGGTAACCTTTGATTAGATCGCTTAAAGGAACAGGTACCAAAACATTGGTCAGAGTTTGTATGGGTTTATGTATTAGTTTGAATGTTTATTATATGGAGAGAAGTGGTTTCATTCTGTTTTAGAGTGAGAATTTGGACTTTGTGCGTTCTGTGATACAAGAGAATTATCCAATTTCATAGTAAAGAAGGTGCCATATCGAAAGCTGTCAATGAGATGAGCATAAAGAGTACCAACAAGAAAGAAACTACCACTTCAACAATTCAAAGGATATGAATTCATCCATGTTCACCATAATGAGCCATAATGAAACCAACCAATTCATCCAAACTACCTCAATCTTTAGCAATTTCTCAATTCTCTTGGTCTGTCAAACTTTCAGGGCGTAAAGAATTTTTTTTCTCTTTTGAAACTTTGTCATGAGACAAAAACATTCAAAACAATAACAACAACTTGAAAAGAAGGGCTTCCAGGGGTTCAAAAGAAATTTATCTCCAATAAATCAATCAATAATCTGCATTGCCACATTCATATCTCTTCGTTTTCTTCAAATATTTACTTACAGCATCAACATTCCCATTATCAAATTTCAATCAATGTCACAACATTCACAACATTTAACAACTTCATCCTCTTCCAGAAGGCGTTCTTCTTTCTATAACTCATTCCAAGAAGTCCTCAATGCTGGTGGCAAGAAATCAATAAACAGCTTTGCATCCTCATATTCAAGGACTGCAAACTTCCTAAATGCAGACTTTGACTATCCTCAACGTCCATCAAAATTAACAATGGGCACTAACCAACCAGATGAAGAAAGTGCCCTAATTGATGAGGATTTACCAAGCTCATACACTGGACTGAACGATATAGATGCAAATGCTATCGAGGATGTGGAGGACAACAGGAGTATTCGTGAAGAAGTGTTGTCTAAATCCGGGAATAGTACAAGTCCTCAAACTATATTCAATGGGATTAATACATTGATTGGGATTGGAATTTTGACACTCCCGTTGGGGTTATGCTATGCTGGTTGGATTCCGGGCTCAATTATATTACTTGGTTGTGCATTATCTAGTCAATTGACTGCCAAAATATTGGCTAAATGCCTGACAAAATCTCCCGAGTTGAAAACTTATGGAGATATTGCCCAATTTTCATTTGGGAGAATTGCACATTTGATAGTGGTTATGACTTTTACTGTGGATTTGTTATTTGCTGGTATTTCCATGATTATATTATTTGCAGATTCTTTCAATGTCTTGACTGGTGTTGATAAGATTTTTTTCAAAATTATAATCTCAACTGTGTTTTTCGCATTGAGCTTTGTTAAACTGAGTGTATTGTCCCATTTAAGTTTGATTGGAATCATCTGTACTTCATTGATTGTTTGTGTCGTCTTTGCCTGTGGGTTTATTAAATCCACTACACCTGGTTCATTAATTGAAATTGCACCAACTTCTTTATGGCCAATGAGTTTTAAACATTTATTATTAAGTTTAGGTATTTTCATGTCTCCATTTGGTGGCCATGCTATTTTCCCAGAATTATACAGAGATATGAAACATCCTCAAAAATATAATGGTGCTTGTACCACAATTTTCTCATTCACTTGGCTTGTTGATTTCATAATGGCAAGTTTGGGTTATTTAATGTTTGGTAATTCAGTTACTGATCAAGTTACTAAATCAATCATGATCACTGATGACTATCCTAAATGGATCAATTTGGTCATTTGTGCATTGATGGGGTTATTACCAATCTCAAAAGGACCATTAATCACAAGACCAATCATCACAATGGCTGACCAATTGACATTAAATTTATCATTGAAACCTAAAAGTCATAATAGTGATACTGTGATCAGATTCGTGAATCGTTTAGTTGTCATTCTGTTGTTTTTCATCACTTCATTAATCTTTACCAATTTTGGTAGAATCATGTCCTTTTTAGGAAGTGCCATTTGTTTTTCAATTTGCATTGTTTATCCATTATCATTTTATTTGAAATTATACTATACAGAGATTTCCAAACCAATGAGAATAGCCATTTATATTGGAATTTTAACTGCCTTGACTTTAGCTGTTTTGGGAACTTTGGCTGTTGTTTTCGCCTAGTTAATTACCCAAATCTTTATGTCTCATGGGAAGGTTTGTTTTTTTTCATCAAAATTCAACAAAAGATTCAAAACTTGAGCTCTACTACTTTTGCCACTGGTTTCGAATCAGATTTGATCATGTTTTTAAATCAAGATCTCTTGTTAACTCAGCATTCAGGTGTCGCTACTGTCTGGTAAGACCTTTGATCCATTGCTTATGGTTCCAAAACTAATACACTCCAAAGGCTTTTATCAACATTAGGAAACAAGACAAGCTACAAAAAGATTTCAAAGAAGGAGATCCAATCAGTTTCTATCCCACAGACATGTGACGTTATTAAAAATCCACCGTCTCCTATGGCGCTTAGATTAACTTCAAATTTGTTGTATGGTGTTGCATTGATTTATAAACAAAAGACTGATTACTTGAATAATGACACCTCTCTTATAAAAACCAAGATTCAACGTGATTTGTTCAATCAGAAAGGTAGTAATAGTGATATTTTGATCAAAACTCCAAATTATATCATTAAACCAATTGAATTAACAAGAACTCAACAGGGCGGCAATCATAATAATCAAGTTTTGTTGAATGATGATCCATTGTTTAATCTTGAAGGTGATCTTTTACCAAGTTTGGGTGATTTGGATTTCTTACAAGGTACTAGTAGCACCCAGATGGTTAATTCAAATCATAGGAAATCACAAATTAGAAGATCAGATTTGGAAAATAATACAGTCTCAGTTGTGCTATCTACAATGACGAATTCCACAGAAGATGCTGATATTTTCACAAGACATGTTAATCAGGATGATATTTTAGATACTCAAAATCCTGAATTTGCATTTGATGAAGAAGGTATGTTGTTTAGTTTACATGATGAAACAACGGCTGGAACAGGTGGTAATGCTGGTCCAAGTGAGGATCTTCATATTAATGACGGGTTTGATATTGATTTTGATTTTGATATAGACCTCGAGAGGCAAGAAGCACCTGCACAACAACAACCTCCTGAATTGGATCAAATTCTTGAAGAGGTTGAAGATCCACCACCACAACAAGCTCCAGATAGTGAACAACCTATTGTTAATGAGTCTCCTGAAGCTGTTCAACAACCAAGGAAAAAAAGGAGAAAAGCTCAAAATCATTTCACAACACTTGTTGTTGATGAGACTATTAGTCTTCAAACAAATGATTTGCGTGGGTTTAGAGATACTTATATTGAATTAATGGATCAACAACGTACCAAACCCCCAGAACCACGTATTGCAATTCAGAATTTACTTGATGAAGTTTCATATTTACCAAACTTTGGCAAGAATCCGGCTGATGAAGAAAGACGTGGTAGAAATCCAGTTCGTGAGTTTGAAGATGAAGATTTCGTTGATGGGTTGTTAAGAAATACAAGAAGATCAAGTGAATCTATCGAAGTTAGAAGAAATGCATCAAGTTCAAGACGCCATTCCACAAGGGCTAGTATGTCTAGTATTAATCTTCCATTAGAAGGTGATCTGCAACATCCACAAGTTGATGACACTACGGGAGGTGGTGGAAATGATAATTTTGATTTTGATTTTGATTTAGAATTTGATATTGATGAAGAACGAGTTCCAAGGAAAAGATCAAGTTCTGTTCAAAGATTTCCTGCATTGGCTGAAGATGAAGAACACAATTATCAAAACAATGAAGAAATGTATGATGATGAAAGACCCGAAGTTGATAGGAAAACTATAAAGTTTTTAACTTTCATCGAGACTAGACTTGAAGAAGATTCAGTTCAAGAGATGAAGTTTGATCAATTAATGCAACATCAACAAAACAGATCAGTTATTGTCAAATCATTCTATGAACTTTTGCAATTATCAACATTGAACTCTATCGAGATTGTTGAAAATAATGACAAAGAGAAATTTGAACTTTTAGATGCTAATGATTTTTCCATCAGATTGGTTTGAGCTTTGAAGTTTGCTAAGCGTTTAGTGGTTTACCTTGCAATGAATGTAATGAATAGAAATTTCTACACGTAGAATAGCAATACAAAAAAATGGTTTTCAAAGTATAACACAAAGTTCATATATGATTAAACAGCGCACTAGTAACGCAAAGGACACCATATATAAAAATATAAAGATCAAATATTAAATAAAAAATTGTCACTAGTTTTGTAAAAATGAATCAAATCAATCAAATGACGAACGATAAAAGACAACAACACAAGGAAAAAAAAAGTTGATTGATGATAAATTCGTTCAAACGAAAGAAACAACAATATCAATTCCTCGCTTAAACACGAGTAGTTTCTTCAACTGGTTCAGTTTCAGCTTGTTCATGTTCTTCAGCCCATTCAGCTTCAGCAGCTTCTTCTTCAGCAGGTTCATAAACATCTTCTGAAGTGTGGTGTAATGATAAAGCTGGTTTAACAACAGCTTGGTCTAAAGTCCATGAAGCTAAAGCATTTTCAGCATCAATAATGATTTGTTTTGAAGCTTCATAACCATCATAAGCTGGTCTAGTTTCACCTGGAGTAACTGGAGCATCATCTAATAATTCTAATAAAGCTTTACCATAACCTGCAATCAATGCAAATTTTTCAGCCAATTCTCTAACAGCATCGAATTGATAGTTGAATGCAATTTTTAATTTTTCTCTAGTGATGTTTGATAATTGAGCTTCAGCAACTAATGATTCAGCCTCGGCACGAACCAATTCTTGTTCTAAAACATTAATTTTTGGAGATTGTGGGTCTTTATATTTCAAATGAGCAATTTCATCAGTGATTTTTTGTTTACGATCTCTTGATGGTTGAACTGAAGCTTCAATGTTTCTAATTGATTTCAAAGTGATTCTATATTGATCATATTTATCAATGAATTGATCTTCCAATTCACCAATTTCATAAATTAAAACCCCTAATTTATCAGTAACGTCGGAAACATCATCATCGTTATCTTCACCCCAGATTGATAATTGTTTAGCAACTTCTCTTCTTTCTCTAGCAACTAACTCAATTGATCTCAAGACATTCTTTTCCAATTTGATTAAAGCAGATAATTTTCTAGCCAATTCAGGACCAAAGTTACCAGCAGCGTTTTTTCTAAATGTAGAAGCGATACCAGCTTTACCAAAGAATTTTGACTTTGTTGTTGAAGTTGGAGGAGGTGGTGATTGTAATTGAGAAGCAGTTGGAGCTCTCGAATTTCTTAAAGAGTAAGTTCTATGCATTTTAGTGTTTTTGTACTTAGCTTTTTAGTGAATTGTTCGAAGGGAACAAGGGTTAAGGATCATTCAGCGTTTTTATAATTGCGTTTAGCGATTGACTTTGCTACTTGAAATTGTGTGGCGCGGACCGTCCGGATGCGGAAGTGTAATGACGTCCCGATTGGGAAGGTGGTAAACACCCGATTGGGAAGGAGGGTTCCAGAAGGAAACACCGAGAAGCTTCTATTTGCTATACACATAGACTTATACTTTTTGTTTCTTTGAAGAGCCGATGTCATTGACAGCACGGACACGCATTGAGTCTATTAAACGATCATATTCTTGCTTGATGCTTTCATATGCTGTTTGTAGCTTGTCATTACGGATTGCCAATTCCAATTCAACTAACCCGTCTCTGTTTTTTTCGTATAGTCTCTTTTTAATCAACAATCTTGCTAATTTGATGTTTTCTGTATATAAATATCCAATCTCCACTAATTTTTTGAATTGATTTAGTTCAATTTTGAATTTATTAGCATTTGTGATGAACCATTTATTATCAATTGTTTTCAAATTCTTCGGTAATTGATTTATGAAACCTTCTTCAAACAATCTTTTGAAATCATTTCTATATCTCAAATCATCGAATTTTTCATTAGGATCTTCAACAGTAATTTCCTCTACTAGTTCATTACCATTCCAGTATGAAATTATGGAGTTGTATAATGATGAACCATGTTGAGTCTTTTGATATGGTGGTAGGACAACAAATTGTGAAATTTTGTTTCTCTTTTTCACATTTGGATTAGAATCAAATTCAATTGCTCCATTATATTTGAAATATGAATAAGCAGTACTGAACCCTAAAATTTTCTTTGTTTTATTGGAAACCAAGATGAATAGATCCCATAATTCATCAGATGTATCAATATATGAACCTGCTTCAATAAATAATAACACAAAGATTTGTAATCTCTTCATCAAATCAACAGCTTTAGTTTTTTCCCCCTCCGAAGTTTGGAAACTTGTTTTAAAGATAGAAAACTCTTCATTTTTGACATTATAAGTGTTTATCAATTCAAATTCTTTATTAAAATCAAGCAATTCTTCTTGTTCCTTTTTGAAAGCGTCGACCCATTTAACTTCATCATCAACAATAGTAGATTTTGGTAAGAATTCTAATAGCTTTGCAGTTATATCATCAACTTCATCATTTAATTTCTCTTTATAGCTGACTTTAAGGAATGGTAAGAACGTAATACTGTCGAAAACCAAATCAATTTTCAAATCTTTATACCCAAATATTTGTTCAGAATCACCAAATATTGGATATGTGAATAAAGGTGGGAAGGAAACATAGCCCTGATCATCGGCAATTGAGACTTTCAAAGCTTCATTAGAAGATATAGTCCAAACTTCTGGATTATATGACATTTTGGATTGAACTTGTGTTGATTATTTATTCTTGTTGTTGTTCCAAGAAACGCGTATTCTTTTTTTTTCACCACGAAAAAATCAAAACGAGATTCGCGAATTTTCTAATATACACAGAATAGAGATGCAATTGTTCAACTACATCAACTTACAAGTTATCAATGACAAAGATATATATTGTAGGGGTGCCTTTCAAGGATTGTTTCAATTACTTCAGGTTTGATGTTCCATCTATAGATATTGCTGGACATTGGTCTGAAAAAATGATTCAATAATGTTTAGATTTTTGGTAACATGGCTAATGTAATTGTATCAAGGCTGCTCCATAATCCAAATGATGAGTCCGAATTGTTAAAGCTTGTAGGAGCTTTGAAACCCTTATAATTTGCTGTACTCTTCTTTTTGGTTACTTTTTTGTAAAGGTCACGGAAATAAACGGACCCAAACGGGCCCTTATTCAAGACTTTTGTCCAAAACCTTGATCAAGCAAATAGAATTGAGAAACCAACTTAGCAGTAAGTCCATTACACGCAACGGTAGTGTAAATAGTTTTTTCCTCTATTCAGCTCTTGGTTATCCAAGCAGGATCCCAATATAACAATTCACCATTATTATCATCCAACCATAAATACCCACTACTAATCATTTCATTCAAGATAGATTGAGATCTATAAGACTTCCAACCAAAATTATCTCTCAATATGGCAACACTAATGAATCCAATATTGCCCACTGTTTCCAAAATCATATTTTGATCATTTGTCAACTCTATATTGAAATTTTTAATATAATGCTTGGACCCAATTTTAATGATTTTCAACTCATCATTCAATGCAGATAATAACCCAATTGAGATTTCAACATCTTTAAATGTGATGTTTAGATCTTTAAAACTTGACAAGAATTCATTCACGGGTAATAAACCACCATTCATATCCTTCATTGAATTACTAAACTCAATGATTCTCACACATAATTCGAAATAAAATTCATTCATTTTAGAATCATGCTTATCATAGATCTGTAAAGGGTCGATCCCAACACTTTGACATATTTTGATGAATTCATTTCTTAAGGTGATGTCTTTTGATAATTCTTCATTATGTTCCTTGAGGAAATTCAAAAGGATTGATTTGAACAGTTGAAGCTGTGTTGTGAGTTCGTTTGTTTTCTTTTGGAGTAGAGATTGTCCTAGCTCTGAGTACTGCCTTAGTTTATTATCATCAAAAGCTGCTAGACCCACTTTTTTCATGTTTGTCGTTTGGTGATTGATGGTGATTTTAGTTTATGTCTTGAATTGTTTTGACTTTTTCAACATAATGAATTTCGCGAATTGCTACAACCTTGAATTGCAAACCATTAAACATTAACTATTAAAAAACACACTCTCACATTATTATACACTTATCATCTCCATACAACGTACTCAAAGTCTCATCAGTAACCTCTTTTTCATTTTGAGATTGCTTCTTTTTCACTTCCTTAGGGAAATTCTTCTTCATATACTCCAACAAGTCATAATCAACATTAGCTTCTGTAGCATCCATAACAACAGGATCCCTGCAAATTGGACATTTTGGTTCATTTCTTCTTTGTAATTTAATTAAACAACGGATACAGAAGAAATGATTACATGTTAATCTCACCGGTTTATAGGCAATTGAAAAACAGATTGGACACAAATAATCATCTAGTTGTGGTACTAATTTAACAATATCTGTTGATATAACTTGTTCAATTGAGGATGTTGATAATGAGCTTTTTTCAAATGTAATCATTTTGTTGAAATTTTGAGAACTGTGTAACAAAGTATGTTTATCAAATTTCTTGACAATTTTCCTAATTGCAATTGTATTTAAATTTTCAAATGATAAAAATTTAAGTAATTCTAAGTTTAATTCATAAAAATTGTGGAAATATTCAGTGTTTTTCTTTGTATGTTTGAATTTTTTCAAAAGTTTTATATCTTCAATATGACCAACGAATGAATC